CCTTTTGCTCCCCTGGAAGGATTAGGCCTTCATGAGGGAATCATCAAAGTCTGCCATATCATCTGGGGCAGGGTCTAAGCCCTCCCCCATGTGTCTAAGCTGAGAGAGTATCCTCCCAAAGCCCATTCGTGCACTAGGAATAAATATTGGTTCCACTGCCAGATGCCCTATAGACTGCCCAGGTCTCCTAACTGACATCCACATTCAGGTGGCCTGGTTCCGTCCTATGCTGGTTTCCCAACTGTCAGTCTAGGGTCCATGAGCTCCCCCTTATTCAGGTCAGCTCTTTTGTGGGCTTCCCCAGTCTGGTCTTGACCCCTTTGCTCACTCCTCCCTCTCTGCAACTGGATTCCAGGAGCTCAGTGTTTAGCTGTGGGTGTCTGCTTCTGTTTCCATCAGCTACTGGATGAAGGCTCTAGAATGGTTCATAAGGTAGTCATCAATCTCATTATAGGGGAAGGGTTATAGGGGAAGGGCATTTAAGGTAGCCTCTCCACTATTGCTTAGATTCTTAGTTGGGGGTCTTGTAGATCTCTGAACATTTCCCTAGTGCCAGGTTTCTCTTTAAACTTATAATGGCTCCCTGTATTATGGTATCTCTTTTCTTGTTCTCTTCTATTCTTCCCCGACTCAATCTTCCAGCTCCCTCATGTCCTCTTCTCCCCTTTCTCTATATCTCTCCCCTCTCCTGCCCCCCACCCACGCTCCCAATTTGCTCATGAGATCTGTCCCTTTCCCCTTCTCCAGGGAACCATGTATGTCTCTCTTAGAGTCCTCCTTGTTTCCTAGCTTCCCTGGAGGTGTAGATTGTAGGCTGGTCAATCCTTTGCTGGATGTGAGGTATAGCTCAGAGATTGCGCCTGATATGTTTGAGGCCTGAGTTCAACTCTCAGTTCTGCAAAAAGTCAGTCAACCAATTAAAAGCTTATTTTCTGAGATCGTCTTCGTTTGTGAACACTATTAGTTCATAAAAACACAGCACTTGTCATTTACAGTAAATGATACCCAGCAGTGCGAAACAACACAAATGACAAGACTTGGGGTAAATGACTTCCATTTGGCTAGAGCATGGCCATTGTGACATTCGGGAAATTTAAAGGAAGGGTATTCATGACTCATCTTGTAACATCATTCTCCAGGCAGAAGAGGTGAGGCAGCTCACCTCTGGCTGCCAGGATACACTTGTCAGGATGGAGAAAGCTGCCTGACGTGGGGAGGGTACAGGGGCAGACAAAGGGTTTGTCTTGTGAGCCCTGGCCGGCCAGCTTCTGGAACTCTACCAGTGGTGCCACTATTTCATATAAACTCTCCCACTGTGGGACACACGAGACCTTCAACACATAGCTTGTAACAGAGGAGCAGCTGAGACTAACAAGAGTGGGCCCAAGGCGGGTGACCGGTGGGTCAGGAGTGCATGAGAGCCAAGCCTGCGGAGATGGAGAGGACAAGGGGCAGGCACTACAGAGGTTGCCTCATAGCTCTCAGCTCTGCTGAGGGCTTGTTTTTCAGCATACCTTTTCCCTCCAGGAGGCACAGGATAAACAGCAGGAGAGATCCTTGTGTCCCTAGCGGCACCCACACCCATCGACTCCGGATCACATTCCTTTCCAGACTTCAAGGGTCTCAGGTTACAAAGGCCTTGTTGCGCAATCCTTAGAGGAGTGGGCTTGGTGGGAGCTGGGTTTGGCGGAAGGGGTGTGCCCTGCATGTGTCAGGAATCTGTGTGTGGCCAGATGCCAAGGCACCCAGGTGGTGGCAACAAGAGTCACCGTATAATGCCTCCGGATCTTTGGAGAGGTGCCTGTCTTTCTTTTATCCCCTCCTGAGGCTTTTAAGTAACATTGTCAAACTACAAGTTTTGGAGTAATTTTAGGGGGAACATTCCAAAAGTTTGCTAGGTGTACCTGCCTGCCAGTTTACCGGAGATAGCTGGGACTTCACAACCACATAGCAGAAGCTGAATCTAAACTCCCTTTCTTCCTGTTTTCCACAATCAGTTTCCTCCCACCATAGTGTATGCAAATTTCCCAATATACTCCACAGCTTTAGAAATCAGTATGGAAGCAGAAAGACAGGCCACAGCTCTGCTCAAAACTTGAGTCACAATGGACTGGTTTTCCCTAAAGGAACGTTCATGCTTCTCTTTAACCTGGCTTGGAAAGCCAGGGATGTAGTGAGAGTCTTTTAGGAGTTAGATGTTTCGGTTAAACCAATATGAATCTACAATACAAAAGGCTATCTATATTTACCAATAGCAACAAAAGTATTCACCACCTACTTCCAATGATGCACCAAGCTGACAACCACAACAATTAGTATTTATCCTAAATGAATATTTGTTTCACTTCATTTTCCTCCAGAATTTAGACCTTGGACTGGACATTAATGCATTCGCAAGGAATTCAGTTAGAAACGTTTAGTACCCGAGTCCAGAGAGTGCCGAGGCATAAATCTACAAGCTGATTGAGACATGAGACATGCAGTTCTATAGAAAAGCCCTGGACAAGGCTGACCAAACACCCAACTTAACAAGACAATTCCAAATAAAATCAGAAATCATAGGAAAAGTTCCAGAAGCCCCACTTAGGAAATACATTGGGTAATAAGGGTAGGTCACTTGCCACTTACATGTGAAATAGTGTTGGCTGCCATACAAAGGATGTGTAACACACTCATAAACGAACAAGGTCTGCCTACACTGGAAGAGGCAAGACCACAGGAAGATTATAATGGTTACAACGTAAAAATCTTGTAAATTGTGTAAATGCTATTAGAGTGTATACATGCATCATGTGCCTGTGTAAATGTTTGTGTAGTATTTATATGTGTCCATGAACACATGAAGGCCAGAAATCAAATCAGAGTATATCCCTCTCCACATATTATTATTATTGCTGTTATTTATTATTATTTATTATTATTATTACTATTACCTAAAGATCACTGATTAGCCAAGACTAGCTAGCCAGTAAGCACCCTCGATCCTGCTGTTTCTATATCCCAAGGTCTATGCTTACAGGCATGTACCAACATGCCCAATTTGCCACATGAGTACTGGGGATCTGAACTCTGCCATCATGTTTGCATAGCAAGCACATTAAGTCTGAGCCATTTCTCCAACCCATTTATTTGTCTACTTGTTATCTTTTTAATAGGCTATGTGTCCTGTCAGCTTCAAGACAAGGTAACTTGCTAACTTCCCTGTGTTTGTTTTCTTTATTATCCCAACCTTTTGAATGGTTTGGGGTCTTTCTGTGACCTTGACTCAAGATCTATTAGTCTGTAGAGGCTGGGCGGTGAACACTGTGACCTCTTGAGAGCATCTGCGTTCACCAATAACTGCTGGGGAAAATGAGATACTCTCAGTTTTAGAATATTCTAACCTAGAAATGCCAAGAGTTAGTTCAAATATAAACTAATTCAGCATGAATGAAGGACAGGGTGCACTGGGCCAGCCACCTAGCTGAAAGGACTTGGTTCCCAGCCAGCACACAATCTATCTGTGCTGATTTCCCTGGGAGACGCAGCCAGGGATGTTTCCCTGGTCCCTACAACTCTAAATCCCATGCCACAGCATGAGCATCAACTTCACAGGATACTACTGTCGATAAAACATAAATGCAGATGAGCTAGAAAATTGGGTTTTCTGTTTATTAGTTTAGGTGAGGTCTAAGCCTAATTTTTAAATGTCTATAAAATGAAAGAAGTCTAAAAAGCCGGCCAATTTAATTTTCAGAGTCTTAAGAAATTGGACCATATTTTAATCGTGAAAAATCGTAGCAACTTTCCAACTGGAAGCTGAATGTGAGCTAGACAGTTAGCACGCAAGCACATTCTGCTTTGACCTGGGTCCCTCTGGGTTTTACATGCTGTGGCTACTGCTGCCTTCCTAGAGCATCAGGACACTGGCCTCACTGCTGTGATACTTTTATTCATGAGCCGGTGGAGGCTGAAGGGGGTTAAAACTGTGCCCTGCGTGTATTTGGTCTCTTTACTGTGTGTTGTGCCTGGTGTGCCCTGTGTAACTGGTCTGCAGCAGAGCCCTGGGCTGCTGTTTACACTGATGGCATGTCATAACAAACGGGGATTCTGCCTGTGGACTTATGTTTCTGAAGACCCAAGGGAGTCCAAGCGGAGATGAGTCAGGACCTGGCACCACCCCCGAGCTCCGCCCTGCTACGCAACAGAATTTCTATTTGTTGTCACTTGGAATCTTTCTGGGTCTCCAGGAAGAAACAAATATTTTAGAAGAAATTATTTTACCCCAAGGCAAGATAAAGAAAACAAGACTCTTCACATGTCCTGCAGCAACTCTCTCACTGTAAGATCCTTAGATGGGGGCGGGGAGGGTGGGGGCAACTGAGATGGCTCCACCTGAACTGGACTTGGCCTCTCAACCCTGCGGCCTTTCTTTTTCTCTGTCAACTGTGGGAGGCCTTTTGCCCTCGAAGCCTTGGAATTTCAAAACCAGACTTTGGAGTTAATCTCTATTGTTAACCCATAATATACCTTTTCCATCTTGTATTAATTTGTGTTGTATTTTAAAAACTTTATTATTAAAATGATTCTTTCATTTAAATATTTAAAATCTTTACTCTTCCCTGTCATTCTGGGAGAAGCCATTAAAAAGAAAGGCACCCGTGCAGAAGAGTATCACCAATCGAGATAATTCCTTTAGAAAGTTGCTGTGAACTGACAGGAGACCCCGTACCTTCTGCATTTCCCAGAGATTGGGGAGAGGCCAGTGGCAGGGTTGGGCAGGGGTGGGGGCTGTCTGAGAATAGAAAATGCCTTTGTGTTGTGGCTTCACAACCTCCTGGATGACTGTAGAGAGGACATAGCCCAGATCTTCTTCTGGGAGCCCCACGGGATTCGACCGTTCCTAAGGAGTACTATTGCTCTGTGACACACTGTTCTTCCTGGAGGCGTGCTCCCCTGTGGGTATCTCCTTTTCCTCTAGACACTAGCAAGTTCTACCCTTAGCTTAGCAAGTCATGTACCTGCGCTGGAGGCATGGCTGGCTGATCCTTCTGGGTCCTTCCAGTAGTGTTCTGCCTCTGCCTTGTCAATAACTGAACTGCTGGTGCTTTTCCTTCTTGGATTCTAAGATCCAGTCTACGTTGGGTATTGTGATGTCACAGAGTAGAACCCTTACTCCCCCACCCCCACCCCAGCTGAAACCTCTCTGCCCACATCAATGACGATCTCTCAATTTCTATTTCATTTAGCCCTCAGAACTTTGCTGGAACTCTCAGGGAAGGGACCTTGAAGGTCATCCAGTTCCATTGCTTTATACATAACAGCATCAAGGCCCTGGATGGTGAAGTCTAATCTAACTAGAGCCCAGAGGCCTTCAGTGCTGACCTCGAACCCTTCTGAACATGATGCTTCTAAACATGTTTCTACCCTGCTCTCCTCTCCCGAGTTGGCCAACACCCGAGGTTTCTGGCAGGCAGCTCAAGAGGCCACCAGCCTCTAACCATGGCCAGAAGCCACCCAGACACAGTACATGGAGTAACACAGCAGTCACCATGGAGACCGTTTGCTTTTCTGACAACCTGTAGATGCCGGAAAGAGCTCCTCTTAACCCAGACTCAGAAATCCTGACCCACCAGACTAATTCTAGAATAGCAAGCCATGTGACTTCCGAGTAATTGATGTTTTCATAGATTTGGAGATGAGTAACAAAGTAAAAGCTATAGGTATTATCCACTACAATGACATATCAGTTCCTAATATTTACCTGAAAAGGAGTATCAGTAAAGAAACAGACTCTCACTACAATGCAGTTCTTTTCTCCATCTCCTTTTTGTAGACATTACCCCTATGATGTTAAGGGATTATCTTCACTGCATGAGATGACTTGTGCCTCTGACGTCATAGAACTGTTCTTTCAGATACTTTGGGGGTGGGGGCACATATATCACACTGTTGTAACATTTTATATCATGCTTCAACCTTTACAAGCCACTTTCACATATATCATTTCATTTAATCACATCTCAGTGAGGTAGTATATTATTTTTAGTACAATTTTATGGATGAGAAAATTATAGCTTAAAGTGGTTAGGACTTGCACGAGATCCCAAAGCTAATTAAGTAGAAAGGTTAACATTAACTGTAAACCAGATCTTCCAGTCAAGCATTTTCGCCACCATAGGGCTTCCCCTGGTTCAGAGTTGTCAATTGGTTCCAGAAAATATTTAAAGGCAACTGCATTAAGTGACCCTTCGAGTAGTAAGAAATAAATCATTCCCAAGGGTTATAAATGTTGTTTACTAGCCTCCTAAATGTCTCCATAAGCCTGGTTGATGGACACTAATTTCAAACTTGAATCTGATATAATGACGGCCCTTTCACTCAGTTCCACATCTGTGGATCCTTTGAAGGCATCCATTATGGACACAGATGACATTCAGATGAAAGAGTTCTCTGCAGCATGGCTTATAGCAGGAGACAAATTAAACATGCAGCTGTAGACAAGCAGTAAACACAATTCCACTAAGTGCCAGGAATGGTGTTTTTGGACAGAATTTCCTGAATTCGGACCATTTGTTTGCCAGGAACACTAAATTTACTTGACATATTCCTTTTTATTAACTCACATATTTTAGTACGAAAATAATGTTTGAAAGTATTTTATGTAACAGAAAGAACTGATGATGATAAAAAAAATAAAAAGTACAATGACAAAGGAATGTTTGTCATTAATGCCTTTGTTTTGTCCTGAAACCTAACTGAAAATACACAACTGACCTAATCAAATACCTCTCCAGCTCTGGGACATCTTTAAAAATAATATTTTTATTAATTCTTTGAAAAGTTTATACACATATATAATGTATTTTGCTCTTATCCACACCACAAACCCTGCAATTCTCCATGGGTCCTACCAAGCTTACCTCTCTGGACTTAATGCCATCCTTTATAATGGTGGTAATAATGGTGATGATGATGATGGTAATGATGATGATGATGGTAATGATAATGATGTTGATGTTGATGATAGTGGTAGTGATGATGGTGATGTTGATGGTGCTGCTAATGGTGATGCTGATGGTAACGATGGTGATAATGATGCTGGTGGTGATGGTGGTGATGATGATTATGGTGGTGGTACTGGTGATAACAATGAGGATGATGTTGATGATGGTGATGATGATAATGATGATGATGATGGTAATGAAAGTGATAATGATGATGAGGATGGTGATGTTGATGATGGTGATGATGAGGATGAGTATGATGGTGGTGGTGATAGTGATGATGAAGGTGATAGTGATGATGATCATGGTGATCATGATGCTGATAATTAATAGGCTCCTGAGTCTAGTTAGTGCTGGCTATGTGCAGATGGGGGTGTGTCCATCTACTGCGGCTTGAGCAACCTATCAGCAGCCACATACCCCAAAAAAAGCAATTCTCCCTCCCTTAGTAGTCATTAAATGCCACCAGCTCCTCAGCTAAAGGGTGAGGACTCATAAGCTCCTCTCCCTCCCAAGATGGGACATTTTTAACAAAAATGGTGGTTGGTGATAGACACCACACTTTGAGCACCACTCTACTTGGCCCAAAATAATAGACACATTCTAAGGGCATTTCCCAAGGCCTATAAAATATAGTGGGAAATAGTCTTCACCGACTAGAAACTCAAAAATAAAAATAAAAAAATCCCTTCTTTATTGAACTTTATTCTTACTTAGGTTTTAGGCTTTATTTTCATTCTTTTCTTTTTCTTCCTTCCTCTGTTCCTCCTCTCCCTCCTCTGCCCTCTCCTATTCCTTCTGTGCCAAGTTGTACTCTATTACTGAGTTGTACCTGCAGCCCACTCATTCCCTGCAAATTCTTTTTATTTTCCCGATAAAAATGCTTATAGTCTATGTCTATCCATTTAGGATTTTCTAACGTTAAACTTAATGCTTGTCTTTTATTTTGTACTGTTTACAATGTTATGTAGAGACAAAAGGTATAAATAAATAAATAGTCAAAAGTTTAAAAAATATTCATTTTCTGGCAATCAAACTGTAACTGCTTGAAGCCTAAACAAGTGACATGATACTTTCTATTGTAGCCCAGCTCCTAATAAGTCCTGGTGCCTTATCCTAGATGGTCATTCTCAAGAAGGGCGAGAGTGTTGCAACTTTACTACCTAATAGGATAGTGAGCAGCTCTCCTCACGGTCCAGACACTGTCCTGAACTGCAGGAGAGGGACCCTGTTCCCTCTCACACAGGAGATGCCATGAAAAATTTGCCAGTGTTTCTTTCAGTGCTATGAAGTAAAACTTTCATATCAATATCAGTGTAAATACTTTTACTCCTATACTTTGTGCTCATCCTGGCACAGTATGCTAAAACCTTAATAAATGAGCACAATTAGTACCAGAATTTCTAGGTGCTTACATTGATTTTACTTCAATGACCCAGTGAACAGCATAGCAACAGTTGCCAGGCTCAGCCTACAAAGCCGTGGACATGAATGAACTGTGTGGTGGAGCCATTCATCAAACCTGGTGACAACAGAGCTGGGTCCCCCTTTTAAAGCGTGTTATGAAAATTCAACATCATCCTGAGAAGGTGCATTGTAATCCAAGCCTTTTCCCTAGTGAAACCACTTACACTTAATAAAACTATAAAAATGCCTGTAGATCCCAAGAGACATTGGTCAGTATGTGAGACCCACCTCAGGTACTCACAAAGATCATAGTATTTCTTCAACAGCAATGTAACATCACATACTGCAACAGGAGTCAGTGTGTATGCTTTTGTGTGTTGGTGTTTGGGGTTGAAGGTATACTTGCATATGGAGGCCAGAGGCTGCCGTTTTCTCTTGCGACCGTGTCTCTCAGTGTGCCTGAAATTTACCATTTCCACTAGGCTGCCTAATCAGTGAACTCCAGAATCCACTTGTCCCTGGTCTCCAGTGCTGGGGTTTTATGTATGTGGAGCCATGCTAGGATTTTTTAGTTCTTGATGTTTTGAACACAGATGGTGGAAATTTGAGCTGGGGTCTTGATGCTGGCATAGCAGGTGCTCTTACCCAGCAATCTGTCTCTTCACCCTTAGAATTCATTATTAAGAAATGGTATCATCCACACTACAATAAAACATCTTGAAATCAATCAAGTATTTGAGTTAAGTGCTTTTAAATTGTTAGCTTTGGAAGGCTAAAATAGTAAGTGGTCACAGAAATGTAATGTTCAGATTGTCACCAAGAGAGAATTACATTATGCTAGGTTATCAGTAAGGGATAAATTACTCCTAGGTTATTTAGGAGGACTATATAGGGCCTGGCTGGTCTCTAAAGAATGGAAAGTAATATTTGAGAAAAAGAACCCAAGCACATTAGGAGTGGGGCGATATTTATATTTGGCTCTGTAGCCCATCTGTGGCATTCCATTTGAAACAGTGTTGGGGTGGCCTTTCAGAAGCACCTTAAGCCAAAACAAGAGACACATACTATGAACATCTACATTCCCTCAAAGTGGGATTCCCACCAGCCCAACTCTTCCACTAAATCCATATTGTCTAAAAATTCCCTATTTCTTATACCTATGAGAATAATCTTCCCCTTTCTCCTCTTTATTTACCCCAAAGAGTTACCACGATAAAAGGAACTCAGGACACTGCACAGACCACTCCTGTTGCAAATGGTCTCTGCTGTGGTCTGAAGGTTCCCCAAAAGTTCATGGGTGAAACTGGATTTCCCATTGTAGTGGTATTGAGTGGGAACATTTGGGGAAGTAATTAAGTCCTTCACAGTGAATTTGTGCCTTACAAAGGGACTGGAGGGAAATTTTCTCTTCCTTTGGTTCCTTTTCCCTTCTGCTTTTCCACCATGTGAGGACTCTGATCTCATTGGAGGACAGAGCAACAGGAAGCAGAAAGTAGCCCTCACCAGGCACCAAGTCTGCTGCTGCCTGGATCTGAGACTCCCCAGCCTCTAGAGCTAGGAGAAATATCTCTATTGCTTATAAATTTTCCTGTCTTGGGAACCATGCACAGCTGCGTAAGCAGACCAGGACAACATTGAGTCTCAGGTATGCCTTCAGCACAAGGCAGCTCTGCAGCATCATCTGAAGTCTCTGCAGCTGCTCTGCTACCT